AAACTACAAAGGCTTGCTAGGCTCTACTAAGGCCTGCCAGCCGTTGCTAATGCTTGGCAGGCCTTGCTTTCCGACGATCAGCTTCTGCTAGCAAACTCCATTTGCCATACCCCCTTAGGGGGGTCCCTCTGAATCATAATTCAACGGAACCCCCAAAAGAAAGGGGTCTCTCTCTCTCTCTCTCTGTCTCCCGGACCCAGAGGTCTAAACCCCAAACCCTAAACCCTCATACTTGGTAGAGTGTCGCTCCACGCTGTGGTGCGCGATGCCACAAGCAACTCTCTCCATCAGTTGCCAGACCCCGAACAGCAGAGACAAACTACAGAAGGACAAACAAACGCAACAAGCTTAAACGTGTCCGACGATCGTGAATTTCTCCAAAATCCACAAGAAGTAAGCAGCCTTTCAGGGCTGGAAACCCAAAACCCTCAGGCACCAAACCCAGAAGTTTCTCTGTCAAACGCCCGACCCGATTAAAGTATGCAAGTGCCCCGCAGGAAAATGAAAAAAACCGGGGCCTTCTCGGCGAAGGCTCTCCGCCGGACACGCTCCATGTCTTGGCACCTCCTTTGTTCCTGCATTTCCATCTACTTAGTTGAGGGTTTTCGGGTTTGGGGCTTGATGTTAAGGGTGTAGGGTTTAGGAAGATGTCCAATGGTTGGGTTCGATCTTAGGTTGCACTATCTTGGGAATTGATGTTGGGTTCTGTCGGGGTTAGTCTAAACTAAACCTTCACAACTTATAAACCTTTTCAGCCTCAGAATACTTTTCTAGTGCGGATAGTGACTGAACCCTAAACCCTGAAACAGTTCACAGACAAGGTTGCCAAGAAAGGATCTTATGTCTAATGTAGGACAATGTAAGAGCCATCGTGTTTAGGATAAGGTTGGGGGTATACTACACCTGCACCCGTCGAACCAAGATGCAGATAGTGTCCGTGATGGTCTTCTGGTGTTTTATTATAACAAAACATAACTCGTAAGAGCATTTAAATTTAAGCTTCTAAAGGCTACTATTTTCGTCATGATAAGGAAGCCTGAGGACTGGCATCAGCAAGATATTCCGAACCCATATAGGTGCTTAGGAGTTTGGCAGGATGGAAATGGGGGTTTCCGAAAATAGGGGGCCCTAATATAGTACCCCCAAATAGTAGGATCCTTATTATAAGGACCCCAAAACAAAGTACCCCTTATTTTCGGAAGCTCCCATAAAACTGCCTTTGAGAGAACCAAGCACAGCAGCATCCGCACGAGATGCCCAGCTGATGAGCAAGGCCTACACCTTAAACCATACTGAAAAAATCACCAATCCGATAAGCCCTCAACCCTACCTTAACCCACCAGAACCTACTTCTTTTGAAGGGTCCCTATGAATCCCATATTAGGGTTTATGATAAGAACCTACAAAAAAAGTGGGGTTTTGGTAGGTTAAGGTACCCTAAACCCTAAACCCTAAATGTGAAACTTGAATGTATGGCATCTACTGACAGTGGTGGTTTGTTTCCATATGAGCACACTGGTTCCGTGCGGTGAGTAGAGTTTCTGACCTGTCCGCAAGGCATCATGTTCGAGCAGTCTGGAAAAGGCGTCCAGCAAAGCAGAGGCCAGACCGGGAGGGTTGTAGCTTGTGCCCCTAGGGTAGGTGCTCTTGTTTTCCCTCTCGGTACTTTTAGTTTCACATTGGTAGCGGAGCCTCGGCTCCTGTAGGTCCTAGTGCTATGTCGGCCGATGGGCAGCAGTATGCCTCGCTTCGTGACAGTGGACAAGTAGACGGCCTCGGCCCACCTCCTGGTTTTGATGTTGGCGACGCCCATCCTGCGGCACCCGAGTTGCCGCCTCCGCCTGTGTTTGGACACCGCCCAAGCAGGCAGTCGACTAGTTTGCCAGACTCCGATGCACACAGTTCTTTACTTGATCAACGACATGCTGTCGACAACACTCGTGAATGGAGTGACCGTTGGCAGAGCCAAGGGGGCGACCGGCCCGCCCAATCATGGGGAAATGGTTGGGATAAAGCTGGTCGCTGGGAGAAAGGCTACCAGCACGGCGACCACGATCGACGCGGCAGCTGGGAATCTTCTACCGCTGAAGAGTCTTATCGCGGTGGACACTGGAGACCAGACGATCCCTGGAGCGACGGCAGGGACCCCTGGTCGCAGAGCGACCACCACGATGGGTGGCGACGACTTCATGGCGACCGAGGTTGGCGTGGACCGCATCAACCTCCCGCGGCGGATGGTCGAGCTAGCGGAACTCAAGGTGGCGATCCTGGAGACCATCATCGCGGACGATGGAGCAATGGAGTGGACGAAACAGGACAGGCCTGGAGCGGTTGGTCCTACTTCGACAACGGGGGTTTTCAGGCGAACACTCCTCTTCCCGGCCGGGCTACGAACGGTACCGGAAGGGCCTCTGAGAAGCTGGCGATCCCAAGCTTCGCCG